CAGCGCGGAGGATCGCCGCCAAGCTCGGCGGCTCTCGTGGCGATTTCAGACGGCGGCTTATATATGAAATGGCCGAAGAATAAGTAGAAGTGGTATTCAAATTTGAATGGTGCAGTGGTAAGGACCAAAGGAAGGCCAAGGTCAAAGACGCGACACTAATTCGAAGAGGGGGTGTTTTGGTTACTTAACGGGGAGATAGATGGAACAGGCGTGGATCTCGATTGGAGAGGGGTTTTTAAATAAATATAAATTGAGAGGTTTTTTTGAGGCAGTGAGGTTGGGTGGGTCTGTTTTTGTCGATTATTTGTTTTTTTTAAAAAAAACTTATTTTTTTATTTTTAAATATTTTAATAGGATAGTATCAAAAATATTTTTTAAATATATTTTTAAATAAAAATATTTTTAAAAATAACTATTATTATGTTTTTGTGAATTATTTTTTAAAAAAAATATTTTTTATTTTTAAATATTTTAAAAGGATAGTATCAAAAATATTTTTTAATATATTTTTAAATAATTATTATTATAATATCAAACATTATCGTAATAAGTTAGTAAAGTTATAATATAAGAAGTTAAAATGAAATATTGCTAACATATATAGATTTAAGGTTCTTTTGTTTTTGTATTTTAAATATGTTAAATTTTTTTTGCTTTAAATTATTTTTTTAATATTTTTAAATTTTTTTGAAGTAGTACTATCAAAAATAAATTTTAAAATATAAAAAAAATAATAATATTTTAATATATTTCCAAACAAAAACTATTTTAAAAAATAATTGCTATCACAATATAAAATAAACTCTTCAATTTTTTTTTAATAAAGTGATGTTGGTGACCTTGAAAATCGAAATGGGTAGTTAGGCCTAAGATGATGTATTTATTTCCTCATTCTAATTCGTATAATATTTATTAGTGAGCGTTTGAAAATGTGATTGTACTTATATTTTTAAAAAATTTAAATTTTTTTATTAAAAATTATTTTTTTATATATTTTAAATTGTTTTGATATAGGGATTTTTAAAATAATTTTTAAAAAATAAAAAAATATCATATTAATATATTTTATTTTAAAAAATATTTTTTTAAAAAATCAATCACACCCTTAAACAAAACAGACATGAGGTGGTAAAGAGCTGCACGCGGGTGAGACATGGGGAGCCATAGCTTTTCCTTACAAATGTGACAATCTTATGTGGGGGCAATGAGTTTTGTGGGAATTTCACTTGCTAGCACAAAACCCAGCAAAAACTACGTAAAACGGTAAAACTTTTCATCAGCTTTTCAGAAAGGCCAGGAAACATGGGTGGCATAGCTGGCTGCTCCACTAAAAAACAGGAACATAATCTGGATTTATCTTTTCATTGGGGCCCATTGCATCTACTATTTGCTCTCTCTCTGCGCTCGCTTTTCATTTTTTGAAGACAAATTTGGAGCTATGGATGGTGGGCTCCGCTGGGTACGGTGTTAGTGCGAATGAAGAGATGGAGGTAGACGAGCTGAAGGTCTTCCACAGGATCCA